GTGCCTTTGCCTTTCACTCAGGTCTGGCTCCCGAACTTACGTACGGAAGAGCTCCAATTAAGTTTCTAAATCTCATCTCATCAAACACTGATTACCCTGGTACTCATTTTAAATTATGTTTTATAGAACCGCGTACAATTTTCAATTTTTAATATCATACTTCTTTACTAATGGTTTATTCAACTATTCTTCACTCTTACAGCAAACTTATAAGTCATCCACAACATAATTTATTATATAGTTTCATTTTTATTAGATAATACATAAAAGTAACAGTCATTTTTATTTCATAAAAATCCTAATTCTTTAATATATGCATCAAAACATTCTTACCAGTCTCTTGGGCTTTCTCTTAATACATAAAATTCTTTATTTAATTTTAATACCTTGTTAGAGCCATTCTCATAGCCTTGTGGCTGTCTTACATAAACTTCAGATGGGACTATACCGTTTAAAAAGGCTGTCTCGACATCCATTTGTTCTATGATTTAATTATTGTGACAACGAAAAAAGAGTAAAATTTTTAAAGTTTGCATTTTTGCTACCAGTCAATAGATACCATCAATTAAATCTTTCTGCTAGTATCCTCTTACTACCAACTTAGCTTTAAAAGCATCGTTGGCTTTTTTAGTATAAACCATTTTTAAATATAAAGCTTTTTTTAAATTTGGTATATTTATAAAAATCCAAATGTTATTGTTATTTAAACAACTTGTTTCTCTATCCATTGCCTTTTTCCAATATTCAGATTCATCACTATTCATCTCACCATTATAAGAAGCAGGTTTCTCAGCATTTGTTTAATTTACTTGAATAATATTACTGTATACAAAATTCTCATCTCTCTATCTTTCAAGCTCTCTTTTTTCCTCGTTAATCGTCTTAAATTGCAATTTTCATTTTTATCATTGCAGTTGGTATTTAATTCGCTATTTTTTTTTTTGTAACTTAGTTTTCATTTAATATAACTTTTATGTCGTCTTCTGATTTTAAACTAATATGATCTGTGCCATCTTTGATGATATCATCGTGCCTGCAATTACTATTTTACTATTTATTAGAACTCTAAAACAAACATTTTCTTAACCCAAAAAAATTCCCAAATCCCCTTTTTCGTCCCATTTTGAATTTCTTTTATCCTCTTGTATTCTCCCAAAAATTATTTTTTCATACATCTTTGTACTTTTAATGCTAAGATTTTTCCTAATATAATTTTAGGGGGTGTCTTATTTCTTTTAACAGGATAAGTAATAATCCTGTTTTTCAAATGAGCTATTGTTTCGACTATTTCTAGCCAAAATCTGTTACGTACCCTTGCCTCTTTTAAGAATCATCTAGATATACCCATAATGTCCCTATTATACTTTTCTGCCATTCTATTTAGTTCATGTACATTAGGTGGACACTGTTCATAAAAATGCCTTCCTTACTTGCAAAATTACTTATATGTATATTTACATGCTTCTTCTCTTTATCAGTTCCTTTTTTTTTTCTGTCTTATTTTGAATCAAATTAACAAAGTTAACAAAGCAACTATAAACCTTATTTTTTGATTCAATACAATAAACTTGAACAACTTTACTGAAATAATCAAAAAAACTTAAAAAATATTTTTTGCCATTTAAACCAGTAGTACCAAAAGATCCATTTAAATTGATAAGTTAAATTTTTAAAATATCGTTTGCCCTTGACTTGTTATTATTACATGGTAAATTATGCATTTTATTTATGCATGGCCTACAGTGTTTTATGCAGTTTTTTCTTTTTGTGTTAACTTACTTTTTATCATTAAATTTGACTTACTTTGAATGATTTCCCTTGTCATATGATCAATTTCATTATTTTGAATATCAAATGCAACTTAATTTCTATTTAGATCCAAAATTTTTTACATGTTATCTGTTAAATTAATTTATTAACTTAACTCACTTTTTCGTAACTTAAAAGATTTTCATCCATTTCTTTTATTTAAAAATTCTTACTATACATTGACAGGGCTGGCAAAATGCAACGTTACAAAATGCTAACAAAAAAGTCAGCCCACCAAAAACTTNTATAGTATTTTATTTTACTACCATACTAATGTTTTTAGTTCTAAGAATTATCTTGCTTTGTTTATTTTAATTTTTTTCGAGTCATCTTCAGTTGCTGAAATTTGTTTTGGCATATGGATGCTTAAATGATTAATTTTATTTTCCCATCTATCTTGCCATTCGCTTCTTGCTGTTAAAGTATCACTTCAATTGGGGAATTATCTTAAGCGTCAAAATCTTTGTATGTAAAAAGTGTTTTTAAGGAAGTAAAAACTCATTGTGGACTGTTCATTGCATTCTTACTTATTGATTCCGACGCCCGTTTACATAGATGTTTTTCTAACACCATAATCGGTTGAGACATTTTAAATAACTTTTCCTTTACCTAATTCTAATTCTGTATTTTAGATGAGTTCTAAGACTCGATTTTTTTACATCAACATTATTCCTTGAAGTGTCTATATTTTCCGCAGTTTCAACATACTCCATCTCTTTTCCTTTTAGTTTTAAAAGCACTTGAACCGTTTTTGCTTTCATCTCTTTTTTATTTTAATTTAAATATTATTATTTTACTCTTTACGCACTAAGCTGTTCAATCAGATTCTTTTAAACCATCGATCAAGTCACCAATATGACTTAACGAACTTAAAAGCATTTTAATCATGTAGCTTAATTTTTCGCTTTTCATTCACATTTGCACCAGTACTTATTTATTAAATTATTTATTAATATTTTATACTCAGTAAAAAATACACTTTAATTTTCAAATTCTTACAACTTTAATTTTTCTAACTTATTTCTCACGCAAATTTTCAGTGCAGTAGACTTCTTTATGTACTTTTTATAGAATTTCTTAATTATTTCGTATGTCGTGCCTTTGCCTTTCACGAACTGTAACTGATCATTCAAAATTCCGCGTCGATATATCACATTGATCGCCTTCAAGTCCTCTTCGATTGACTCTTCTTCTGTATCTGTCGTTGCTCTGGCTCGAATAACTTTTTCGTCATACTACTTCAATTTTAGAATCATTGTGATTCTCCTTTTCCAGTACTTAAAATCTTTTACATCGAACACTGGAATTTTTACTTCATTCGCCATTTTTGCTTCTTCTCCTTTGTTCGAATTTTCTAGAGTTTATTTCATGATAAGTACTTTTCTTGTTATTTTCACGAAACTTTTTCTTATTAGTGTTGGATTGACACTTTCTTTCAACTTCATTATTGTTGGATTGACAGTTTTACTTGGATCCTTAGTTGTTGATTATCACAGGCCACTGAAGCAGCACATGAAAATTAAGAAAAACGTACATTGAACACGCTCTGCTACAATTCTCAATATATTGACTACATGGCAGTGGATCAATAATGTTACACTTATCAACACTTAAATTAATATCTTATTTTATTTATCTCTAAAACCGTTGTAATCGTTAACCGCGAAAACTACTGAAATTTTGCATACTGATTCTTAATAATTCCGAGATGGTTTTCGCATAGTTTTTTCTTTAAAAAAAAGTTAACAACAATAGTGATAAACAAGCTCAAAGTTTTGCTAAAATAAGAAAGCTTTGCGCTTTAGTTCAGTAAGATCCGCTAGGTGGCGTCACGGTAAAATTAAAGCCACCCGCAATTAAAGATAGTGAAGAGTGGTTATAAGATGCGCCGTCACATTGTCGATTATAGTAGTCGGTCATCGGCAGTACACCAAGCACAGAGTTGTTAGTCGTGCAGCTGGGCATCCTGGCTACTGATAACTCTCTTCTTTCATAGGCAAGCGAAATAGATCGGTGTGTACCCCAGATCGAAGATAACCGAGTGCCACGGGTAAATAGACGGTTAGAACGGCATTTTCTCCGGCGGAACACCAGGCGACGTATACTAGCTATAGCAAAACCTGCTCCAACACTTTATAGCATGTGGCCATAGTATGATCGAATTAGTTCTGTGTGTTAGGTGTGTATGTTAAGGACTATAATATTTATCGTGTGTCCATATTTTAGCTCTTAATGTTGTATAAAACACGAGTTATTAAGTTTCGTAAAAATGACTCAAAATGACAGTTTTTTACGATCTGCAAAAAAATGGCTTAAGCGATTTGAAGCTCAACGTGACCCATTATGTTCTTATTAAAACTGCGCATTTTTTTCTGCCACATACTTTTTCATTTGCGATTTTCCGGTTTTTCAAAAAGTGAAAAATATTTTGGCCATTATTGCCATTTTTTGGGGACTTTTTCAGACATTCATAATTGTTAAGTTATGTGTCAATTCGTTGCCATGCATCGAAATTACTACTCTTTTTCTTGAGTTGGTCAAAATTTTCAGGGTTAAAAAACTAATTTGATAATACTAATAATAGTTAGTTTGTAAATGGTCTAGTGCTGCATCATAAGGCTTTGAAAAAATTTTCTTTGCCCTCATATACTTAATAATATTGAGTAAATATATGTTAAAAAGCATTTTTCGATAGTTTTGTTTCTTTTTAAATTTTATATTAATAGTAGTTGTATATTACTTTTTAAATAAACTTACCGTTTTATCATTATTCATTAATATTTTGCAGTTACTTTCACAAATTATTATCATTGAGATATAAATAAATTATACGGAAGTCAATATAAATGCAGGTACTAACAAAACTTTTATACTAGGTACTATCAGGTTTGTGCTGCCTTACAGAAAGCGAAATTTCAACAAGAAAAAGTATACATTTTTGATACTGAGCATGAATGTAAGCGAAAAGAACAATTGAAAAAATTATTTGATCGTACCATAGAACAGATCGAGGAGGAACAAATTTTATTACAAGAGTTAAGAAAAATAGAGCAACGCAAAAAAGAAAGAGACAAGAAAACTCAAGATTTACAAAAACTTATCACGGCAGCTGACCATCAAACGGATTTTAAAAAAAATGACAAAAAAATATCAAAAAAAAATAGTAATTCAAGTCGAAATAAATTTAATAAAACGGATATTTCTCCTGTAAGTAGTACCAACAGTTATTGTTTCAACAATTATTTTTTTTAATTTTCCAGTACGGCTTATGTATGATTTACCGTGAAAGATATTAAGTAAAATTAAGAATTCAAGTACCATGACTTTAAAGGCGAATCCTTGCATTTTTTACTTAGGTTTCATAATTAATGCAAAATTTTTCTGTGCAATACTTCTTAAGTTCTTCAGTGCTTACAGAAAGGTTATAGTATTTTATTTTACTACCATACTAATGTTTTTAGTTCTAAGAATTATCTTGCTTTGTTTATTTTAATTTTTTTCGAGTCATCTTCAGTTGCTGAAATTTGTTTTGGCATATGGATGCTTAAATGATTAATTTTATTTTCCCATCTATCTTGCCATTCGCTTCTTGCTGTTAAAGTATCACTTCAATTGGGGAATTATCTTAAGCGTCAAAATCTTTGTATGTAAAAAGTGTTTTTAAGGAAGTAAAAACTCATTGTGGACTGTTCATTGCATTCTTACTTATTGATTCCGACGCCCGTTTACATAGATGTTTTTCTAACACCATAATCGGTTGAGACATTTTAAATAACTTTTCCTTTACCTAATTCTAATTCTGTATTTTAGATGAGTTCTAAGACTCGATTTTTTTACATCAGNATGTATATATATGTATTACAGTGCTTTACGTCCGGCTCCTATAAAGGGCACTACTGAGGGCACTTAGCACTTGGGAGAAGGAGGGGAAGAGGGATGGGAGGCCTCCCATTACTGGGAGGGGGATAGGGGGAATTAGGCAATTATGCTGCAAGGAGGTCACCTAAGCCCTCCTCGAGGAACTTTGCGTGGTGAAAAAGCACATGTGAAAATACACAGAGGTACTTGCCCGAAAAAGTCGCACTGGCCGGGAATTCAACCACGGTCTTCCGCGTGCTAATGCACGACCTATCCGACTGAGCCACCACGCGCTCAAGTACAGTTATAATAATGTTATAGAACAAGAAGATTAAATAATTTTTAAATGAGAAGTAGATAGTAAGATAAGAAATGCGAACCAACCATCGAAAGACACAGTAATGTTAGCGTTATAGTTGACAACGAATGTGATACTATGAAGTCAACAATGCAATACTTATGTGAAAAGTCAATCATTAACACTTATGAAAATACATTTAATATATTCGGCGTAAGTGTAGTGGTGTATTGAAATACTTTATGAGGGTAAATGACAAAAAATATTTTAGCATACAGCATTAATGTAATATAACGACCTAAAGCCAAAAAAGGAAGGAAAGTCTTGGATCATCTGAGTTTTCTGCCATCTAAGGGAAAGCCAAGGATAGCAAACGGACGATCTGAGATTTCTTCACTTTCAGTCTAGGGTTGTATACGATATCTTATGTTTCAGTCACTGGCATTAAAATATGCTTGCGACGTATTACTTAAAACCATCGAACTCTGTTTCAAAGCTCTTATGAATTATAAAAAACCTTTCCCAAAAGCCTTTGTAACCACTGCTACTACCTACATATAACTGAAAAATTTAATGTGACAAGTATTTCAAATGATGGCGCAGCTAGCACCCTCAGCAAATCCCCAACCTGTCCCTGTCTACTAACTACTCCCTAGCACCGTGCTATGATCTTCTAACTCTCTCTCTCTCTCTCTCTCTCTCTCTCTCTCTCTCTCCGTCTCAATTTCTTACCGTTTTTACTCTCTCTTTCTTTATCAGAGTATCAGTTGAATTACTTGCCAAAATGCGTCGTACTGTAAAAGCAGCCGTTTGGTTTGCAGCTGGATTAAGGAAGTACTAACATATCACACCCACATACAGGAGGCTTGGTCTTATGCCTCACAATGTTCACCGTGACTATGTGTGTATGTCTAATAGCGTCTATCTTGAGTTACCTTGAACCGCAGTATCTATCGAAGAAGTACAGCTTTCGGCCACACAGTGCAGTGGGATCTAAGAGAGCCTCTACATTGGACCTTGCTGTTCCCCAGGCAAGAACTTTAAAGAGTTCTTCAAAGGCTTCTTTCATGTGCACACCGCAGAACTATGTAATATAATACCTGAAGAGATTCGCACTGCTTTTAGTGACCCTTATTTCAAGAAAAAGCTGGCTGTATTTTTGTAATACATAATTATTTTGATAATCTTTGACTGTAGTTGAATTTGTGATATTCAGCAGTGTTGCTATACTTCGTTTTAATTATCTTTATTGTTTTTTATAATTTATTTTATTGTTGTATCTTTACGATTGTCATGATTTCTTATTGTTCTTTTAACTCGATGTAGTCATCGTTATTTTTATTTCCTTCCGTTCATTTTTATTTTATTTTATTTTTAAAATTTTATTTTTATTGAAAACGACTCTCCGTAAAGCAGGTAAAAAATTGTTGTATTAATGTGTATTTAATTTTATAAGTTATTTATTGTATTTAATTATATGTAGTCAAGCTACTAATAGCTATAAGCCCTTAACTTCCTGGAAAAGTATATTTCATTCAATTATCTCTCTCTCTCTCTCTCTTTCTCTCTCTCTCTCTCAAACATTCGTTCTCTCGTCTCTCAATGTCACCCTCACTGTCGTTCCCACACACTCGCATATACACCGCATTCTCTCACCTCTCACAACACACCCATCTTGATACCTCAATGCACGATCTCGGGGCACACTGGGATAAAAGGCGTACCGTGGCCGTACAAGCTTCTTGGGTCACCAGGGTGATTTCTCTCTACCTGGGGCCCGATTCCTTGTCTGCCTGTTTTACAGTGGCCTCTAGCTCTTGACCCGGTAGCTTTTGCTTATCTCTCTCTTTTCCTTTAACCTCGCCGTGATCGGTGAGTCTCGTAGTGGTCTCTCTAGTGTTGCTCTTTCGTCTGGGGAGTCTGCCTCTTTGGTAGGCCACCGTACGTCCCCTCTTTTTGGCATTCCTAGCTTCCTTTACTATCCAACCCAGCTAATACCGTTCTTGCTGTTGCTTCTGTTGCGGCTATTGTTGCAGTCGGGCTCACATCTCACATGCACGCGCGCACACACACACACACACACACTCTCTCATCACTAAGCTTTGGTTCAATTATATAAAATATTACTATTCATTAAGTGTATGACATGTAGTCTTCTGTGCCCTGGTAAAATCTCGCAACCTCCCAGTTTATTAGCATCTTATAGACGCTGTTCTAAAAATGAAAGATACAGTCAAACACAGCAGTATTTTTAAATTTATTTTTTTTTTACAACCTCAGTGGATTAATTTAAAAACTAAATGACTGTTGAAATCTAATGAGTACTTTGTGATGAAGATACAAATAGCGATTAAAGTAAAAAAAGTGCGTTTCCGTAGGCTTCTACAGTAACCAATACTACAAACAGTGAATGTATGTAGTAATACTTTAGCTATGTTAACTTATTCTGAGTTGTGACTTTTAATTATTACATAAATAACATTTAATTTCAAATGTGTGTACCAAATTTACTGTTCTTGGTAAATATTATTCCAACTATTGCCAAGTACTGCTTAAGTGAGGATTAACTTGCATTGGGTGAAGATAAAGTCATATTATAATGATAACAAATTCACAGAAGCTGATTATAGTAACATATTACTGTATTAGTTAATTTTTGTGGTTTTTTTACTTAAAATCGGGAAACAAGATCTCATGTCTCTTTATGCTTTGTAGGGTTAGATATGATTATATCACGTTGTAAAATTTTTCGTAATTATTTGAAACTTTCATTAATTTATTTGCCTGTAGCCATTGTCAAAATGGTAGATAACTAGTACAAAACAGTAGATAAATATGTACAAGAAAAGGACAGTGGTATCCTAAATACATTAGTTGGGTAATGGGAAAAAATAATGCTCACCTTGCAACAATAGCTTATACTTAAAACATAATCTTTAAAAAATAAGTTTGTAATTTTTATTTTACAATACCTTAAAAAATGATATTAAATTCTTAATAAGAAAAATAATTTATGTCAAAGTGGTATAACACTCTACGTTACAAAAAGTAATTCTGAATGACATATTTTTGTAATTTACAGTTACAATATATTTGTTGTACAGTTGTATGTTTTAACTATCATAAAGTGTTGGAAAAAACTTTTAGGCGTTCAAAGTAAACGTAGGAAAATAATGAAAAAAAGACTTTTTATCAATCATACCTCTTAAGTTTAAACCATGAGTAAATTTAATACATTTATTTTATACTAGCAGTCCTGTGGCCATTTCGCCCGAGATTCACTAAGTAGAGCACCTCACTTTTTTAACACGCAATTTAAAATACTTATAGTTTATTAATAGATTAAAATTTTGCGTCTACCCCTGACCCTTTTTAGAATAAAAAAATTCTTATTAAAAAAATGTTGTTCGCTATCTATGGAGTTTAGGTCAAATCGTAAAGCTGTAAAAACGTAGAAAATACATATAATGATGCTGAAAAGCACCGTGCCTTCTTTACGTCATAAAATTATTGTCGACCCTAAAAATGGCCGTTGATTTGCACTTTCCCACGTTATAGTATATGAAGAAGGCTATTTGTTAAAGTTGTAAAGATTTAAAACTGATAAAAGATAAACAACTAAATTTTTTTTTTAATCCCAAACCTTTACTACCAAAGAAACAAAGTCCTGGAGCCTAATCTCTTTATTTTTTATTACCACAATAAATACAAATACATACTATTTTACCGTTTTAAAAACCAGGAAGATTTAAGTGATTACTGTCATGATTGTAATTGAAAGCTGATCTTTCACTAAATGGATTATTTATTCGTTGGTTTTGGTGCTGTTGTTTCAATCTTAATAAATGTGCTGCGTCAGTCCCACAACGCCTGAAATGGTGTACATTTGAAGTATTTGAAGTTCTCTTTCTAATTTACCTTCTTGAAACTAGGCATTGTTAAAAACTTCCATAAGCCCTAGGGCGTTTTTTTGTTAACTACGTAGTTCGACGTTACATGAATTTAAAGAGGACTGGTAAACTAAACTCTTTTTTGATTGATGTTTCTAGCA